CCATTAGATAACATGACTGGCCATTGGCACTGTGTCTCTTGCTTCCATTGATGCTAAAGAGAGCAGGATTGAGCTATTTGCTGTGATGACCATATGCTAACACCACGATTGATGCAGTCAAAGTTAGAAGCTCATTTTAGTCACCCTAAGATACATGGTGACTCAATCAAATGATTAATATGTGCTGGCTTTAAAGGGGCAAGTAACTTAGTCTGTCTCACTTACCTCTCCCAAAGCAGGAGCATGGAAACAGGGCTGACAGCCTGAAACTCAACACCCCAATACTGGGCTGGCAAGATAGTTCAGCAGAACTCTGAGCACAGCTTTCTTTCCCTGCTGTCTGATGCATCTAGCTATTGCTGAATCCTGACACTACAGACTGTTGGCTTAAGTGACTGTGAAAGTGGCATTCTTATTGCACATTGCCATGTGCACTTGCCACTTTTACAGACACAAACTTTTCTGCCCAGTGAGCTCCAGTACTGTGACCCTGACAGGGAGGGATAGCTCAGTGGCTTGAGCATTGGCCTGCTAAACCCAGGCTGGAGAGTTCAATCTGGGGGGGCATTTAGGGATCTGGGGCAAGTCTGTCAGGGATGGTACTTGGTCCTTCTGTGAGGGCAGGGGACTGGACTCCATGACCTCAAGGTCCCTTCCAGTTCTGAGATAGGTAGCCCTCCATTTTTTATTTAATTTGTTCCACTCTTTCTGAAGTTCTCCATCAGTAGTACACTTCAATTTTATTCTTATTGTCTTATTGTCCATTTTTCTTTCTAGGAAGCAAGCTATGCCTGACCACTTGAGGAACCAGAAAGGTGGGTATGGCTTTACTAGCATTCAGCACTAATCCGTGATAGAAGCATTGTTGGAATGGATAGATGATGATTACTACTTAGCTTGAACTCTCTCTCTGATGAGTGATGGAAAACCTAAGTTCTGATCCATTCCTGTTAATAAATATCTTGTACTTAAGTTCAGAGCTTCACCCTAAACATTATTCTCTCCTTGCAGTGTGAAGAGCTGTAAGATTTGGTGGACACTTCCCAGTGCTGGAGCAACAGTGAAGAAGCAGGAGTTTTGTGCTAGCACAGTTTGATAGGGACATCTACTCTGGATCCTTGAAACCCTGGCATGTCACACATGGCTCTTGAGTGCTCAACTAGCATTCTAGTAACACCTTGTCAATTACTTTCTAACACTGCTCCATACAAAATTTCCTGCCCTTAATTAGGAGGGTGAGCAGTGGACAGCCTCTAATTTTCAGAGTGATGGGAGGGCAACTCTTGTCTGTTTCCTATTGGGTTCCTGCAGGGGAGGGAGAAGTAGGAGATATTCTAATGTCCAAATTCTGCCCTTCTGAGATGGCTGGTAGTGGCCATGGTGGGGGAGAGAAGAGACCAGAGCCCTTTCTGCAGTAGTGGGTGTCAATGTTAAAACACTACCTTGCTTATAAGACCCACATCTTAAACTAGACAAACATTTACTGTATTTCAACTGCTTTTAAAAGTAAAAAGGCTGTTCTCTTAAATGTATTAATAAACCTAAATGGCACCCCTGGAGTTTGTACTTTTACTCGGTTTCAAGATGTGGTCTCTTAAAATATACTAAAGCTAAACTTAATTGTTTAGGCTGTGATGCTGTAGAGCTCCTGTCAGTCTAGAGTAGATGTAAATATAAACAACTTATACCACCTGAGTGACCAGGGGCTGGCCTAAGCCATTCTTGTGCTGTAGGTGTGTGGCAGCCCCAAATGGTTGAGGACTGATGACTTGTACCATAGCACTAATGGGGAAATCTAACCAGAAAGTGGGCTTAAGCCTGTAATCACCAACCTCTTGATCACAATTGACTGGTTGATCAGGAAGCCCTGACCAGTCAATCACAGGGGGGTGGTCTACACTGGGCCACTTATTCCAAAAAATCAGCTGCTTTTCTGGAATAAGCTGCGAGCTGTCTACACTGGCCCTTGAATTTCTGGAAAAGCAACAATGCTCTACTGTACAAAATCAGCCACTATTCTGGAAAAACTATTCTGCTCCCACTTGGGCATAAGTCCTTATTCCAGAACACTGTTCTGGAAAAGGGCCACTGTAGACAGCCTAGTAGTTTTTCCAGAAAACCCCAATCGTGGAAATGGCCAGCAGGGCTCTTTTCCGGAAAAGTGCATCTACATTGGCCACAGACGCTTTTCTGGAAAAGCATCTTCCTTTTCTGGAAAAACTGAAAATGGAATAGTATTCTGTCAAGCATTTCCAGAAATTCATGCCAATGTAGACACAGTCAAGGTGTTTAGGACTCTTCCCCTCAAGGAAGGGTGTACTAGGGCTTCCCTCTCCCATGCAGCTCTTCTCTAACAGGACTCTTCCTACTTCCCATCATAACACTAAATGCCCATGGACCTGTTTAAAAGGTACAAGGGCCTGGCTTGGCACTGCAGTAGGCTTTGGCTGCTAGTCACGTCACTGACTGCTAGGCTCAAATAAGATCAATTTGGTGACTGCTAGTGGCGGGGCTGGTACCTTCTGTGATACCTCTAGCAGTTTACTAAGTAAAGTCTAAGCTAAAGCCCCACCTGTTAGGAAGCGCATCCGTAGTGGTGGAGATCTACAACCAACCCCATAACACATACAAGTGTATCTGCAATAGTGAGCCTCTCCAGCTGTAAGTGCAGTGTGCTGCTGCACCCTACAGCCCAGGATTGTGGGGCTGGCTTCTAAATCCCATTGCCCAGGATAAACAGCTACAGAAGCCATCCTTGAAATACAGCAGTTTATAAAAACTCAGACACCGTTATTAAAGAGAAAAGGTCATTAAGTTAGTGTAGTATAGAAAGTCCATTCATCTCAACTAGCATGGTTACTACCACACTAAGTGTGAATCTGGTTATTCAGACTAAAAGGTAAGTGGCATAAGCTGGTACACTTCTCTCCCCACACCCCCAACCACTCCCCCATCTATGGTTAAAACTGGGTGTCCTATTGCTGAGGACAGGATAAAACAAACCTTGGCATAATCAAGCATCTATAACAGTGGCTACACAAAATGCAGTTCACCTTTATCCTAGCCTATCCCCACAGTAGCAGTTATTTGCCTACTTTGAGTCTGGGTACAACTTTTGGAAATTCCTAAATCATTTTACTGCAAAGGACACATGCTTTCAGATCACAGAAAGAAATGGTCTGGAAACACACCTCTGCTACCCCTCAGCAACAGGTTTGAGTAGACTTCAGAGCTCCTCCGTGACAGCCTTTCCCTTCTGTACTTGGAGATCTGGGTTTTTGAAGTTGGTGTCTGATCTATAGTCCTAGGTAAAAAGCTATAAAGTCTCTTTGGTACATACAAAGTCAAGGAAGCAAGAGAGACAAGCGAGGTCCATCCTCCAGCACTCTCCAGTTTACTTCTTGAAATACCACACTTCGTTGTGCCTGTTGAAGAGCTTGAAGGGGCTGTCATAGCCAGCAGTGTAATAGAAGTCTTCATGGAACGACTGGCCTGCCTTCTTTAGGATTCTGGACAGGGCCTGGGCTTCCTCTGCATACTTCTCTGGGGAGGCAAACCCCCCAAAGGACCTGGGGAAGACAGCAGGGAGAGGGGCTTTGTTGGATCAGCTCAAACACGAGGGAGGCCATTCTGGATTCTGAAGTGTTCAGCTGGCTCCCACTTACCAGAATGTCACCAGAGCCACACTTGAAACCAGATCTGGAGCTCAATTTCCTATAGGGGCTTCCTCTTTAAAATGGGCTAAACCAGCAGCCTGGGTCTAAACATTCCCAGATGGTATCTGGCTACATATTGTGTAGCTAAGGCCCTCAGGTACCTCCTAATGGGGGGGTTCAACCAGCATGTGCTGGTGTGACCATGCAGATCTTAATGTACATAATAGGCCCTGGCCATTCACCACACAGGTTGGTGCTTTGCAAAGTCGCTTGGACACACGGTGCTAGCTGCTTGTTGGACCCATTTTTGTTGGAAGAGACAAGCCTTTGGGCATCACAAATCAAGGCAGCTCTAAAGGGGGTGCTCTCTGCTAGGTTTCTCTTTACCAGCTGTATTGAACAGCAAAAGGGTCAAACTGCAAGCAGCAGCCAGCCCTCCCCACCCTGCTTTGTACTGTTGGCTGGCTCCTCTGCCAAAGAGGCGGCAGCAGGACGGTGCTACCTGACAAAGATGGCCTCTCCCTTCCGCTCCTCGATGAAGACACCCGGCTCCGTGGGCTGCGGTGGTGAGTCTTGATACTCGAATGGCACAAAGAATGAGACCTTAAAGTCGGTGCAGCCAGTTTTCACCAAGCACGTCACTGGCACAGTCATCTCAATCTTCACCTCTGGAAGAACAAGGACAAGAAAGCTCCTGTCTCACATTAACTCACCCTGACTAGCATCGCTGACATTTCTGGTGCATTTCCCATCTCCCCCAACCACTGCTGTTCCCAGATCATTCTTGTTTGTATCCTGTCTCCAGCCAGCTGTCTCCATGGGTTTCCCACCGGCCATTCCAAACCTGGGTGACTTCATACCTCTCTCATTCTTCCCCTGAATGTAGTGGAAGAGTTTCCAGAAGCCCTGGCGCAGCGCTTCCTTCTGCACCTCTCCTTTAATTACCGTGCTTGCCCATTTGGCTGTCTCGTAGCGACGCAGCTCATAATCTTGCACCTGAAACGGATCTACAGTTACTGCACTTAGTCAAGGGGGCTTTTATTTTCAGGTCACCGGAATGTCTCCGCCAGCACCCACCTCCATGGGAGCGTGCCCCTCGCAATCCCTCAGCTGCCCCATAGTCATACACCCTTTCCCCAACAAGTCACATGCCCCAACAGGGCATCCCCCTGCTGCCAAACCATCCGCCCCATTCCTCTGTGCCATTTGTTCCAGCCCAATCCACATCCTTACTCATCCAGTCAGCAGGCACCCCACCTGGACTGGCAAAAGCTGAATTTACATTGGAGGGTTTGTCAGGACAGCTGCACCCATGAACCCTTTCTAGTGAAGATGAGGCCAAAGACACACTTGGCCACTGTGCTCTAGCTGCAGAGGTTGAAGGGAAGCTTCCTTCTTGCATGACTTCTTCCCCGACAGCACTAATGAGTTTATTGCTGCAAGCATCTGCCCGCATGGGCAGTGCCACTCATACAGCGATCTCCTCCTACCCCGGCATTTACCTCGGTCTCTGCGGCACTCCATTTGGGTGACTGCAGCTCCAATGACAAAAACGTCTGTTTGAAGGACTTGATCATCTTGCCCGGGCTGAAAGGCAGGAAACATTACACTGGGACGGAATATCCCACAGTGCACGGGCTCGAGGGTTCTTGCCTAATCTCAGACTCCTGGTGTTGGTTTTCGCAGGCGTGCGCAATGCCACTAAAGAGAGCACTTCCACTCTCTTCCTCCTCCACCCTTGGCGGGTGCTTGCTGTCCATTTAGGCCACCAAAAGGATGACAGGCCTTGAACATTGGGGATGTCCCTGGTTTTCATGGCTAGCCCATGGGTTTATCCCCCAGTGTTTTGTCTGTCCTGGTCACCCCAGGAATTGAACCAGCGACTCTGACCCCAGGCTGGGCAGCTGCACTGCTGCCTCAGGGACCACCGCCATGCACATCACATTCCCCATTTGTAAAACTCTGGAAAGCCACACACTGAATGAGATCTATACATGGAGCCAGAATGTCTGGCAAGGGACAAATCTTCAAGCGGCTGTTCCTTATCCTCATGGCAAACCCCCAGGGATGTGACACCCCTCCCCTTGCAAACTGAGGGCCTCCCCGCCTGATGCGTGACAAGAAGCATCCGATGGTCTAGCTGAATATTTAGTGTATGTGCATCACTGTGCCACCAAATAAACATGCTTTGGAATGAACTGACCTTCCAGACCAATACCAAGAAGCCAGACCCGAGCTAGTGGAGGTGGTTGCAGGGTTCAGCTCAGAATACTCTGTTCTGATCTGCTGCTGCCACTTGATATGAAGCAGCTGATGGAACCAGCATTCTGGTGTCCTTCAGCCCTCCCCAGTGCCACTGCTTCACTTCCATGCAGCAGAGCCGGCATAAGTACGGTGCTGTAGCATGGCAGCTTCATAACAAGTGGGATGTCAAGACACTGCCACGGAGGCTGCTGAAGAGGGTTAAACTTGGCAGCAGCTGCCACATCTTTCAGGCATTCCCAGCACTGTCAATAAAAGCTCCCCCAAATAGTTGAGGTGCCATTCCTGCCAGCTATCAAAAGCTGCCCAGTTGCCACCTGATATGCATGGGTTAATGGTTGTACTCTGGGATTGGAAGCTACCTGATGGTAATGGCCACAAACTTAATTTTATCTGGATTACTTACCATACCAGTGCACACAATCGTTTGCCTAACTAGATGGGCCATCAGCTGCAGCAGCCCACCCAACTTAGCCAGCAAGACAAGGCCATTGGTGCATCGTATCAGTTCAGCTATTGCATGCTACTCTGCTTGGGAAATAAAAGGATGTTTGCCTAACTAGATGGGCTATCAGCTGCAGCAGCTCACCCAACTTAGCCAGCAAGACAAGGTCATTGGTGCATTGTATCAGTTCAGCTATTGCATGCTGTCAAATGCTACTCTGCTTGGGAAATAAAAGGAAGGAGGCGGTGTTCCCTGTAAGCTGTGCGCTTGTGTGGCCACGCTGGAGAGATTCAAATGCCACCCCGCTGGCTGGCAGGGCAACCACTGCTAAGTTTTGTTTCTGCTGGTGGTGCACACCCACAAATGCCTCAGTGCACATCAACGTCTATTCCATACATGGATGGAAGAGATTAAACACTGAAGGAGTCTGCAGCCTTCTTGACCTCTCCCCACATTCCTGCCAGCTATCAAAACCTGCCCATGTGATCTACACCCGCCAAAGGAGAGGATGCTACAAATGTTTGCCTCTGTGACCCCACTAATAGTCTCTCTTTCTATTTGCCCCACTCAAACCAGCCTTTCCTTGAGGAAGAGTTCCAGCTGCCCACTGACTTTCCATCATTCTAGCTCATTTATTTTCTTCCCAGCTGATTTATAATATTTTATAGGCAACACCTCTGCCTTTTCTATCTACCATTGCAAGTGAAGTATGGAGATAAAACATTAGACCGCCTCCTCCTGGAGTGGGGTGTATGTTCTAGATCACACAAAATCAAGAGGGGGTAAAGTCCACACTACAGTGTTGGAAACTCTCATGTTTCTTCCTTTAAGCTCCAGCTCCTGGAGTCACGTGAAAGTCAACAATATTTAGAAGATGGAATCTCTAGCCCTCAAGGAAGCAGAGAAAACCTTATTAAAAAAGGGGTAAACAGTGAGGTGGCAAAATTTGCAGATGATACTAAATTCCTCAAGAGAGTTAAGACCAAAGCAGACTGAAGCGCTTCAATAGTATCTCACAAAACTAGGTAACAGGGATACAAAATGGCAAATTAATGTTTATGTTGATAAATGCAAAGTAATGCACATTGGAAAACAATCCCAACTATATGTACAAAATGATGAGGATAATTAGCCATTACCACTCAAGAAAGATCCTGGAGTCATTGTGGATAGTTCTCTGAAAACATCCTCTCAGTGTGCAGCAGCAGTCAAAAAAGCAAACAAAGTTAGGAATCATTAGAAAGGGATAGATATTAAGACAGAATATCAATGGTATGCACACATCTTGACTACTGTGTACAAATGTGGTTGCCTCATCTCAAAAAAAGATAGCTTAGCATTGGAAAAAAGTTCAGAAAAGGACAACAAAAATTAATAGGGGTTTGGAACAGCTGCCATATGAAGAGAGATTAAAAAGGCAGGAATTTTTCTGCTTAGAAAAAAGGAGACTGGGTGGGGGGTATATGCTAGATGTCTATAAAATCATCACTGGTGTGGAAGAAGTGAATAAGGAAAAGTTATGTACTGTACTTGCTCCCAAACATAAGAACAAGTAAGCAGCACACAGATCACTGAAATATTTCAAACCTTCTACTAAATGAAGAACAGCTGCTTTAGCAGTCCCAACAGAGCAGGGAATTGGCACCCACATATCAGAGCACTACACGGCAAAACACTGATGCCAGTAAACCAAGATGCAGCTGTAAACTCCAGTGACTTAGCTGCAGGGAAGGCCAGGCACAACATCCCCGCCCTGCCAGCAAACCGATGCAGTGAGATCATCTCAGTTCTGCAGGCAGACTGCTTATCAAAGGGGCCATTCACCCCTTTGAATGGCTTATCAAAGGGGCCATTCAACTGTAATACACTCACACTCCTATGGCATAAAACATACCACCAAGGCAGAAGGTCCAACTGTAATACACTCACACGCCTATGGCATAAAACATACCACCAAGGCATCAGAGAAGAGTGACGGACTCGCAAGGTATGTATCAGAAGCAGACACGCTATCCAGTCTGATCCAGAACTGATCATATTTGGGGATTTGACCCCCATCTCTTCCTGTTTCAACGGCAGTGATGCTGTATCTCTGCCAGCTCTCCCTTTTCTCCTAGGTTTCACCTGCTTTTTTTGCTGCTCTTTGATGAAAAGCACTTCATTTTTGATTACTTAAGGAAATTCTCTCGCATGCTCTCATCTCCTGGGCACTGGAATAGAAAGAGTTTCTCTCCCTAGAACTGATTTCAGACTCCCTTCCTCCCCCACATCTTGTCACGTGGCCTCTAACTTTCTGGCGAACGCTGTTAATTCCTACATACAAATGGACTCTGTGTGCAAGTTACAGTAAACACTGCTTACGAAATGCAACGAACAGAGAACCACTAAACATGAGACAATGGGCTACTGGGTAAAGGAATACATTCCAACATGCAACAATAGCCCTGTCATCTCCAGACAGTTCTCCAAACGAGAACTCTGAGCACCATAATTTATCGTGAGTGCCAACATTACAGTTAGAACAACAGGTGCTGCAGGACCAGTCCTTGTTTTTTAAGTTTTTTCCAGTTAGAACAACAGTAAAGGTCAGCTGGGTTTCCCTCTGTCACTGATTTATGTGACTTTCACTTTGCCCATTACACCCGAAATTATAAACTTTTCTTCCAGTGAGAATTCCACTTCATCCCCAGCATTAAACACCCCATCTACACACGCCATCCTGCTGCTGTGTCACCTGGGCTAGCTCACTCACTGTGGGGTCACGGGGAGAAGAAAAACCACGGGGGTTTCTTACAGCGACAGTGGTGAGGAAGAGCAACCTGGTCATGCCATTCTGCAGGCACTTGCTGTTAGAAAGCAGATGAAAAAAAAATTGGACCCAACACTTACATTTTGAAGCGTAAGCCCAATTGTCCTCTAGCTGTGACGTTGCTGTTCCTGTCTCCAAGCTGCACACACTCTTAAAACACTGTCTTTCCAGCGTTTATTTCTGTGCTTTATGGGCAAACTCCACCCCGCCACATTCCTACTGGTGAGAACCACTGTTATGAAAAGCCTAATATTCTAGCATTGCTCGTCCCTATGGCTCTCATTGGTTGTCTGCAAAACCAGCCCAAATAACCCCACCTCCTGCTCACATGCTGCAGCATGCCTGGGATGGGACCTGGCACATGAGTTTCAAAGCCATAGGTCAAATTCAGCCCTTGTGTAACTTGGGAGTGATGTGGCTGTGCTCACTTGTGCTCGTAATTTGGCTCTATGTTCTCTCTGACAAAGACAGAATTATATGCAAATAACTTCTCCCTGTAACTGATTTGACTCAAGGAGGTTGCTGCTAGAGAATGATAGTAAGATACAGACTCTAGCTGTGTATGCCACAGTGCATTTTCAAATTCCTCTTGTCCATCTTTCACTGACATTATCAGCTGACATCTAGAGACAAAAGGTGGGAGAAGAAAGACCTTTTATTGGATCAATTTCTGTTGGAGAGAAACTCTTGAGCTTACTCAGAGCTCTTCTTCAGGGGGTAGGAAATGTAATGGCACAGCTACAGGGAAGGAAGGAGGATTATTTAGCATACATCGTTAACATATTTTAAAGGCTCACTTAAGGTGAAGAATAGTGATAGAAATGTACTTTAAAGGCTCACTTAAGGTGAAGAGGTACATTCACACCTCTCCAATCATGGGGGGGGCGGTAAGTGGGTTAGATTGTTGTAATAAGCCATAGTTCCAATGTTTCTATACAGTCTATGATTTTCAGTATTTAGCAAAAGTTATGATTGCAGTTGAAATTCGTAAGTATTTTTCCCAATTATGTATTTTTTTAAAACTAGACTTTGAAACTAATGGACTCCCTCAGCTGACTTGTATAAGAGGTTACATAAAGCTGTTATGAGATCCTGTTGAAGCTGTATAACACTATACCTAAACCAGAGCCTTATGTAATGAAATTTATCTGATCTAAATTTTGCAAATGGTTCCTATCTTTGTAGTGGTGTAAACAAAACAGCCTTGAGCTGAACACACCTGAGTTTTATGGTGTTGAAATCCCAAACCTGGATCTGATTTTTGGGCCCATTTCTAATGTATTAAGCCACCTCCAGAAGGGGTCTGTTGCCTGCTGAGCATTCTACTGTGAAATTCAGGGACAAACTCCCATGCTGGAAGGAGGGGAACATCAGAGAAGTCACTTGTTCTCCCTACAATGACAACCCTGGGGGAAAAGGGTTTATTTTTTATAAGCTCCTGTTTATGGTGTTTTATTAAGAAGCCTATTAAAATGACTGAAACTGGGGCCCACTTCTCTCTAAGTGTAACACCGTTATTTCAATGACCGTACGCATAAGGACCGAGGTGGGGTGTGGGAAAAGAAAAAAATTAGGGATAAACATGGCTATGGGGAAAAAAAGCTGATTGCCAACTGTGAGGCTCTTAAAGCACAAGCAATCAGAGCCTGAACTCCCACCCAGCCAAATGACTACCTAGTCTTGGAGACTGAACACCCTGCTCCGCTACAAGGACAGTCCTCCAGATCTGGCTTTGGGGAAGCTGTTCTAGCTGCTACACGTGCTTTGCCTGTTCTTTGGCTAACTAGAGCACTTGCAAACAGAGCACAGAGGGCTGCTGGCCCTTTCGAGGGGGGTAAAAGCAGCATCTGCACTGAAAGCTTTTCCACAAGGAATAGTAAGCCATCGTCACACAGCTTCTGAGTTGCATAAGGAGGGTGGAGGCAGGTACACCATGCATTCTGCACCACGTCTCAGTGTCGGGCTCTCTGGAGTTACTATTGCAACATCTTCCACTGAGGCCAGCTTGCTGCTGCTTCACCAATGCTGGGGGCTCTCTGCCGAACCCGGAGCCGATGTACTGAGAGAAGGACTAGGAAACAGCACCAGCACCCTTAGATTTCCCCCAAAACACACACATGCATGGGAAGGCCAGGGCAGCAGAGGCTCTTAGGTCTCTCCATCAGTGTAATATTGGTATGCAGTATCTACCAGGGGTTCTAGTCTCTACTGGACATGAAGCCATGAAAGAACTACAGCAACTTTCCTCTGGCCCACCTCAGCAGTGGCCAGTCATAGCAGTTGGTATAAATCTGGTGTCACACTAGCACAAACAGCTAGCAGCAACGGGTGTTGCTTTTAAAAGGGAGCGGGAAATTCTAGGAGAAATGCAAACCAGTTGTGAATTCCCATCCTTCCTAAAACAGAGAAACACAAAACCAATCCCCATGCATGACCTGCTCAGTTGACATTTGTACTCCCAACAAAGAGCAACTGTGCTTAACGTAGGGGCCACGGCATGAACAACAACCGGCACTGTTCTCCAGAGATGTTGTTTTCGTATCATTGTTTTGTTTCTCGCATGCATGGAAAAGACATGGCGGCAGCTGGGTCGGAGTGGGGAGAGGCTGTAAAATCTTTAGACACTCAGATTATTGTCTTATAAATTGACTTTATATTATGTAAATTACACACACACCTACCTACCTACCTACCTTTCGGCTTCTGATTTAAATGGGCCTGTGCAGACCAAATGGTATTTCCAAAAGGAAGAGATACTGAAAAAAACCTGTTACTAACCTTCTGTAACTCTTGTTCTTTGAGCGGTGTTGTTCATGTCCGTGCTAATGTAGGTGTGTGCTCATGCCGAGTACTGCTGGCAAAGTTTTCCCTCCATGACATCCATCGAGTTGACTCTAGTGACCCCTGGAGTCGCACCCTCATGGTGTTGGTAAAGGGCCCTGCTGACCTGCCTACCCCTCAGTTCTTTCTTGCCTGCTACCTCTGACAGTGTGACCAGAGGGGAGGGGGGCTGGAATGCACATGAGCAACACATCTTGAAGAACAAGTCATGGAAGGTTAGTAATTGTCTTTAATTCTTTGAGCGCTTGCTCACGTCCATTCCAACGTAGGCTTGGGGTTCATTGGAATGCTGACTGTAACACCGCGTGGCTGAAACCCATGTAGTCTCTAGCTTGCTGGGCGATGGCGTGGCGGGACGCAAAAACATGGAACGATGACCTCTATTGATGTCCTGAATCGGAATTTAAGCCAGGGACGATGACACTGATGCGTTAGCCCGTGGAGAACGGGCTGTCAGTGGAGCCGGGACCTTCCCTAGGTCACAGTACATGTGGATACCAGAAGTGATCCACGATAAAATTCCCTGGGCTGAGACTGGAAGGACTTTTCTTCAGTCTGTAAGGCTATCAAAAGCGGAGTCAATTTCTGAAAGGGTTTTGTCTTTTCTTTATAAAAGACTACTGCCTGAATGCCTAACATTCACCAAGGGGAGTCTTTGGTTCCTCACTGGTAGCGTGTGGTTTTGGATAGAAGACTGGTAAGAAGGCATCCTGGAACGGCAAGACCAAGAACCTGGCCCTTGTAGAAGACAGTGTAGGATGGTTCTGAAATAAGAGCTTAGATTTCGCAGACCCTTCTGGAAGAAGTAATGGCAACCTAGAAAGCTACCTTCATAGACAACTGGCATCTCCACATATTGGGGGGCATAACATAAAGGGGAGGACACATGACCACTCCACATGTCTCTCTATCCCGTTCTCCCCACCTGTTACCTGGTGGAGTAGGGAGCTTTGTCTTCTCCCTATGCCTGACCCCAGTACATCTCTCTGCTCTCTTTGGCAGCCGGGGGGAGAGGGTTCCCATGAATTCCCAGCTTCATTCTGGACTCAGACTTTAAGGCCAGAAAGGACTATCATGGTCTTCTACTCTGACCTCCTGCTTATTGCAAGCTACTGAACTTCACCCACCCACCTCGGTAACCTCTGGCTGAGCTGCTGAAGTCCTCAAATCAGGATGTAGAGACTTCCAATTACAGAGAATCCATTTACTTTAGTTCAATCCAGCAAGTGACCCCTGCCCCACACCTCAGAGGGAGGCAACACTCTCCCAAAGTCCCTGCCAATCTGAGATACAGGAAAATTCCTTCCTGACCTCAAATATGGCAGTCAGTCAGACTGTGAGTAGGTCAGTGAGGCCCTTGGGAAAGCCTCCCTCCACTTGTGTGGAAGGCCAACCCGCCATGTCCCACGGCCCCAAATCATAGCGCAGCTGCTCTATTCTCGCCTGTTGCTCCATTTTTCTAGCCTTCTCAGCCAGTCTTCTCCTTCTCTTTTTGCTGTCTCCTTCCCATTCATTTGAGCCCACATGCTCCACAGGGGACATCTACTGGTGTTTTTTTGGTGGCAGGGCCAGCTGTACTCTTACATCTGAGAAGCTGAGAGGCAGAGCAGAGGCATTGCATGCCTGCGAAACAGGGGAACGCCTCCTGTGAATGGCTGCACTAGTGGTGGTGAGAGTGCCAATGGATTCCTGACAGCTTTCAAAGAGCCACAGGCAGCTTTATCACAACTGCAGCAGAATCTCTGCACTGTGATGTGGAACTTCTGTTATGATCACAGATTTTCTTGCCTGTCTTCCTGCAGTGCCACGGACTCATCTGTAAGTAAACTCCATTGTACATGTTCCTTTCAATCCATTTCTTGAAGTTAATGAGAAGTCCTGTTCAATTCCTGACAGCTTTCAAAGAGCCACAGGCAGCTTTATCACAACTGCAGCAGAATCTCTGCACTGTGATGTGGAACTTCTGTTATGATCACAGATTTTCTTGCCTGTCTTCCTGCAGTGCCACGGACTCATCTGTAAGTAAACTCCATTGTACATGTTCCTTTCAATCCATTTCTTGAAGTTAATGAGAAGTCCTGTTCAAACCAATGTTCCCTTAAAGAGTAAAGCCTTGTTTCCTGGATTGAACTTGATTTACAAACATAAAAAGGTTAGAATGAAAAAATCTTCTAAAAGTACCAAGACCACAGGCTTCAAGACAGATCTACTTTCCATCTCGGGCTATAAGCACAACCACACCTTGCAAGACCCAAGAGCATTTGGAACTTGCCAAGCTCCAACGGCTGCATGTACTCACACGCATACACAATTTTTAACAAGATAAATGCACAATCTCTGTGTGTGCTTATATTGCTCCTCAATGAGTGAACAGATACTGGTACTGCAGAGTTCATAAGTAGTAAGTTGTAGTTGATCTGTTGCATCCCCATCCTGCAGATAAAGGAAACAGACAACCCTAGGCTACATTTAGGGCTCTCAGCCCAGAACAGTTCTGCTCTAACAGGAGCATCTAGTCCTTAGCTAACCATGATTCCATCATTCTTATGTTACAGGGCTCCTGAAAAAGAAGCTAAGATGTGATCTTTTCCAGGGGGAGTTGCTCAGACTCCATTGGTACATTTCAAAATGAAAGGAAATGCCAGACCCATCACCACACACCATGCCAATGGTCCCAGGCTTCCCCTCTGTACATGAGAGGGAAAAGCAACCTGAGTTTTTTTCCTTTGTGCTTCAATTCATCCTCTCCCCCCCACCAGTCGCTGTTGTCTTCTGAAAGTTCAATGATGTGACCTGCAGTGTATGTCTCAGACCATGTGAATGTTTTCTGTCCTTGGAAGGACTTCAATCATTTGCTTCGAGTCAGTTCTTGTTTGCCTTTGCTTCTGCAGCAGGCCATGCAACCTGGATGTGGTACGGCTCTAGCTCCTCAGGGGTAATGTAATCTGGAGTGTTGCTCATAAGGTCATGTCCCTTGAAGGATTTGGGGAAGGCAATGACATCTCGAATGCTTGGAGCTCCAACCACGAGACAGATCAGTCTGTCGAGTCCTAGAAGCAGACATTAAATGAGTTAAAATAGCTGTGTTATAGCCTCACATTACTTCTCTTTGAATGAGGCAGTAAACCACATTGCTGGGAACCAGGACAAAAATAGGGCAAGAATCAGAAACTGGGATTGAACACACTGGAGACACTGATAAGGTGGCCTAGGGCTGACAGTGAGTTTGCAGTGCAGTGCTGCAGAGAAAAGCCCAGTGCAATTGTGCTGAAAAGGCAAAGACTTCACACAAGGCAGAGCAGGTGACAGTCACTCATTAGGGCTTGGCTGAGATGACACCCAGAACAACAGGGCTCAGGTTTCAGCATCTTAGTAGATGTAGACAAACAGGGGTAGAGGTATCAGGGAAGAACAAGAGCAAGTAGATGACCGGAGGGGACCGAGGTATATGGCAAGACTGAAGGTGAAATGCAAACAGATTAAAAACTACAGCCCAGACGTGCAATATTCTAAAGAGGAAAACACTATATAACCATTGCTGTAAAGCTGTGTAAATAGCACTGGGGTTTAACCACTTCCAGGGGCGGCCCATGAGGCTAGGCAGACTAGGCGGTCGCCATGGGTGCCGCCAGCCCAGGGCACCCGATGATGATATCACGGGGCGCCCGATGATTATGTCACGGCCATTGATGGCCACGTAGGCGGGGATGCCAATTGCGCCTTCCGCCTGGGGCGCCAGCTACCGCTGCCGGCCTCAAGCCACTCCTGATCACTTCTGAGATGGATCATCACATCCTTTAGGGGCCGTGAGCAATCTCAGAGGAAGGCATCTTGTTTCGTCTGCCAGAATGAGTGGCATCACAAGCACCTCAGAGAAAGAAGAAAGCAAGCAGCTTTTCTTACATCTTAGCACTTGTATTAACACATCAACTACACACTCCTTACTTGCGGGGTGAGGGGGGAATATAAAACTTGCTTTTAGAGTTTCAGAAAAGCGTCTTGCAATGCACTTGAGCAAAATAAGCACTAGCAGGGGTCAGCAACAACCAAGTGGGAGCTATGACTGGGGAAAGGCATCCCACTCTACAGATAGTTGAAGGGCAGAAATACCAAGAAGGGAGAGGAATTATTACAGGCGACAAAGAGAAGCATGAGGATGAAATTAAAAAAAAAGGGGGGGGGCACTGAGTTAAAGTTCTATAATAGCGAGATCTCTCAGGCTACAGAACAGCTTCCTTTGGCCCATTGCTTGGCACACTGAAGATTAGTTTAGATATAAACAGCAGGACATGCAACGAAGGAAAATAATTCTACAGTGGCCAAATGACACAATAGACTAAATCAGTGTTTCTCAACCTTTTTTAATGAAGTACCCTTTTTAAAATAAAATAAAATAAAAATTATAAGTACCTCCAGTATCTACAGTTTTCAGATACACAATTTTTTTCTACTATTGCAACACATTAAACAACTTAATCGTAGCTGGGCAGGCGATGAAATGTTTGGGTGTAAAAAATACAAAAATAATAAAGTGCTGTAAAACTTAAAACAAAAATTCAGTTTTCTCCAAATTTCACTTGTGTTGACGTACCCCCCAGACTTCTCGAGTGTCCCAAGGGGACTTGTACCACTGGTTGAGAAACACTGGACTAAATGGTTTAACTTCTATGAGGATGCTATCTCTAATGCGGTAGACAAGGAGTATACTCTGACCCAGAGCCCTGCAACCAAATCCGCACGTAAGAACTGAAAACACCACACAACAGGAACCTGTCCCCTCCCTCATACTTGCTGCAATCCTAGGAGCACGGTGCATGCTCCTGGGTGTTGTCAGGTGAAGCATGTTCCTCTCTACATACTCTAGGCAGAATGAAGAGACACAATAGTGCAGAATCAGAAGTGGAGAGACAAGGTGAGCACGGACAGTGGTACCCCCACTGCAGTCCCAATCAGGAGGAGAAAGGGTTTTTGCCAGTAGGCACAAACCCTCTTTTTGATATTGAGTGTGTTGCTATGATTCCAGTCCCAATATACCAGTGAAAAGTCATCAGCACAGCGGTCTTGGACCATCTCCCACTGGGTGCACCTACCTAAAGCAATTCCTCCATGAGGGGGCGCGCCACACTCCAAAGCCTCAAGCAGGTGGGACAGCAACTCGGGATCCTCCTGGAACATCACACACAAAATGTCATCTTGAGCCACAGACGCTTGTATTGGGTACAGAGGGGAAGCTGAGTCATCACTCCTTGGGACCGGGAGTCACATTTCATTACTTGTATTACCACATTGGTGGTCCAGTGGCCCCGTTCCCCTCCCTCACTGTCACAGTGGTTAACAAAGAAGTTCTACCACCTAAAGTAACTTGCCTTAAGCAAGCTAGGTGTCATCTAGCGATACATGCGAAACTATTTCAGAAGGCAGAGCTACTTGTAAGTTACATTGTGTATCCAAAGCCAGTAATTACTTGCTTGATGTTTTAAATACATGTAATCATTGCTCATTTGGAAAAGTTCTCAACTGCCTCAGTGAGACACCAGGAATTAGATAAAGCAGGGTTCAGCAACCCAGTAGCACAGGGTTTCTGAACAGTTTATAGTATACTGGCACTAGAGAAACATGATTCTTCATCTCTTGTATGAGTTATGGTCTATTCCTTGTGTGACACACAAGACAGAACTGGTATTCTACCTCCAGCCCTATCTGGATTTGGGAGACCGTGTTGCCTAGCGAATAGATCACTGGCCTCAGACTTAGGAAATCTAAGTTCTATTCCCAGCTTTGCCACTGACCCACTGGGTGACCTTGGACAAAACACTTTACAGCTGTGCCTCAGTTTCCCCATGTCTAAGGCTATACTGGGCTCATTTGTAAAGTGCTTTAAAAGATGAAAAACATGACATAAGAGCTAGCTATCATGAGCATCACCATTCTCTGAGAGCTATGAGAGAAGAAATGTACATGCGTGACTCCCAAAAGTATAAGAGGCATAAGAAATATCAGTCTCAACAGAGGAATAAGTCAGTGTATCCTATCAATGCGACTGCTCATATAAATGAACAAACACATAAATGTTTGCAGGACTGGGGACTACAATTTTTATTTTACAATGGCTCATTAGTGTCTTCCCAAGTAGCTCACTTTTCTGTCAGTGAGAGGTTCCTACTGGCACAGCATAATCATTAGTAAACCAAATTCCTTTGGATTTCTGTAACCAATAATTGCACCATTTGCAAACTACAAGTTGAACCTCTCTAGTCCCAGCACCCTCAGGACCTGACCAATGCCAAACCAGAGAATTTGCCAAACGACGGGAGGTCAATATTGTCTAGCAGCGTTCCCAACACTTCCACTGCTTACTGGGCTCATAGAAGACAGTTAGAGGTAAATTAGAGCTAAATAACACAGAACACCGAAAGCCAGGACTAGTGACTAAACAAAGTTTATGGGACCGCGGGAAACATGGGTGCACCCATGATAAGTGGACACCCGGCTAACTGAAATGCTGGACCACAGATGCTGCCGGACCAAAGAGTGCTATACTAGAGAGGTAGCTGTTTGATGTTTTAAATGCGTCTTTATTAATTTAAAACTTCTGAGAGGACATTCGAAAC